TATCTCCTTCCCCCATTCCTCGCTTATCCCCATTCTCCACCTTATACCCTCCTCCCCCTACTTGTTCCTCTTCCTCCGTCCTCTCCCCCCTCTCGTTCCTCTTCCTCCTTTCCCCCTCTCCATCATCTGCCTCCTCTCCCATCTCACCCTCCTCTCCCTCGTCTTTTCAACTCACTCCCCCACTCCTCTCCCTCCTCTTCCTCCTCTTCCCTATCCCTCCTCTCATTCCTCTTCCTCCTCTACCAATACCTCCTCTCCCTCGTCTTACTGTGATACATTGCTCCTTAATCTTGAAAATGCGCAGCCCAGTTTAATTACTCAACTCCGTACACAAATCTTCCTGCAATTCTGAAGTCAAAGAGCCCGCCACCGTAAGGGCCGGATTAGTTGGGGCGAGCATCCGTATGATACGAAGGGCTCACTTACAACCTTTGTAACGCTCTCAGCCTAAGCGAGCCCCACGCACCACGCACGAACGAATTTAGGCCCTTTTCGGTGATATCCAAATTTTTTGGAAGCGCGATCGCGTCCCGTTTTATTGTAATAATTGTCCGTGTTCCTGAATCAAGTACTCGTGTTATCGCGAGTATCCGTTAGCATTATGTTTCCTCTCGTACCTGGCGGCTTACCGTGGGGCCAAGACCCACTTACTTCGTCTCCTCATCGATTCGTTACCGTTACGCCTGTGCGTGACGATCTCATCGTCCCGCCGTTACACCTGCCGCTGGTACGTTTTGTCTGTTTTCGATGGACGTCCGTCAGCTTAGTGCGTCCTACGCCTCGGCTCTACTATCACCGCAGGTCTTTACTGGTAATGCTCTCCCTGCCATGCCTCCGCTTGCTGCGGGCCCTATCCGTCTCCCGAGGTCGGCGCCGCCGCCTTTAGACCCTGTCGCGGCTCTGTATTACTCTGAGTTTACCGGGGACGTGTCAGTGCGGCCGCCGCTCACGGCCGCCTTGCTCTCCATCTACCAGGTGCACCAACGTCAGTGGGTCTCTGAGAGCTGGCGGCGGGTTCAAAGTGCTGCGCGAGAATTTCATGGCTGGTTGCAGCGCCAGTCTCTCGGGCTCACCTTGCTCACCTGCGATCCTATGTCCATAGTTTCGTATCTGGTGGAATGGTGGTTCCCCCGGCACCCTGGGCGTCTGCGGGCAGACCGGCGTCCCAGCGCCAGTGCTGTAAAAGGGGTTATCTCGAGCCTTGCGACTGCCTTTAAGCAGCTGGGCCGGGAAGGGGACTATGACGCCTCTCAAAGCCGCGGGAATCCTTGCGACAGCTCATTGGTGCGAGGCTATGTCAAGGGCTACGGACGGGACCTTAGTGACGCCGGTTATGTGGAGCGAGGCGCCATCCCTTTGACCGCGGAGAAGTTTCGTCGCCTGGCCTGCCATCTGTGGATTGCGTCCGGCGATGAAGAGCATTTCTTTGCTCGCAGTTTGGTGCTTCGGGACTTGTCTCTGTTTGCTTTAATGTGGCATACTTATCAGCGCGGTCATGATGTCGGCAAGCTGGTGTTCAGTGATTTCAGGGATATGGTGCATGGCCGTACCGAGTACCAGGGCTGGCCGTTACCCCTACCCGCGCCTGACGGGAGTGTCTCTCCCGACACTGTACTATGTATCGAAGAATTAAATACCAAGACGTACAAGGGTCAGCGTGCTCCTGCGACGATGTTGCGTCCAGATCGTGATCCTCTCATCTGCACGCTGCGGGTTCTCGCAGTGTACATGAGCACGTGTACGAGGGCCGGTACCCCTATTACCCAATACCTCTTCCGTCCGGCGGAGCACAGTGGCCGCGCATATCGGGAGGCGCCGATGACGACCGAGGCCCTGGAATATCGCCTCGTCGCTCATCTTACCGCTGCTGGGCTATATGGTGGAGAGACGGTGCACGGTTTTCGTCGGGGTGCTTTGCAGCATGCCCAGTCTCAGGGGGTCTCCGATGAGGATCTCATGCGCTCCGCGCACATCCGCTCTCTGGGTACTTTGCACCGCTATCTGGATCCTACTAGGCATCTCGCCCGCCTCCCGGCCGGCGGGACGGGGACGGGGCTGGTGGTTTCTGAGAGTGATGATGAGTGATACGTCTGTGCGTGTTTGGTCCTGTCTCACAAGGGTGGGGAGGGAGGGCGACCTCGACTTTCTCTAGTCTTTCTAGTCGTCTATTTTCTGTAACCTGTCTTAATAAAGCTTAGTTGGTATCTGTTGTCTGACTCTGCATTCTGTGCTGGAATGGCCAAACTCGGACTGTCTCGTCCTGGTGTGATATCCGGGGTTGGCATCGGGCCCTCCGTACTTCTGTATTTGGCATTTCTGAAGTCAAAGAGCCCGCCACCGTAAGGGCCGGATTAGTTGGGGCGAGCATCCGTATGATACGAAGGGCTCACTTACAACCTTTGTAACGCTCTCAGCCTAAGCGAGCCCCACGCACCACGCACGGCGTCCCACCCTCCATCCCCCTGCCAACCTAAAACACCCCGGGCCACCCGCGCTCCGCGCGCCCCCCTCTCTGGCTCGGCTTACTCCTGCTCCCGGCGGAAAACTCTCCCCATTTCGTATCTCCAACTCTCTCACTCTCGTCTCCGCGGTCCCCCCAAACAACCCCAGGTGGTGCCCCGGGCCCCCGTTATAAGCCCCTAAGTTGGCCCCGCATTGCTCCTCTGACACGTGGTAGTCATCAATTGGGGAACTGGACACTTTCCCCCAAAACTGGACTCACACCCTGATAGGTTCCCGCTGCTGTTCGGAAGGCTGCCGCCAGTTGGTCTGCTATCTCTTCGATAAGGGGTGTCAGTCCACATCGTAGCCTCGCCTCCAGCAATTCGTGCATCCATCGCAGAGATCCTGCCCTACTCGCTAGAACCAACTGTTCCAGCGCGTCCGCCAAACCGATCGCCATAAGTTCTTTGCGCCGCCCCACCAAAGTTGACGGCCGTCCTCGGAGCCCAAAAATTCTTCGATTCGTAATGCCACTATTGCTCCTGGGTCTGAGGCCGCGTTGGGCTCGAACGTGCCTCTGAGTGACGTGGCCTTGTCTCCCTGTTTTGCAGCCAACGTCTTTCCCCAAGGCTCGCCAATCCACTTGTTGCCCAACCGGGCCCCTGGATTCGGACCGGATGTCCCTTTCCGCTTGTCTGCTGGCAGTGGATGACCCTTCGGCTCTAGCCTGGCGTATGTCCTCCGATTCCGCCCTCCTGGCCCTAGTCATCCGCCCTGGTTACATATTTTCGTCACTGCCACTCGCCGATTCCCCACTGCTCGGGGAAGCTGACTGCTCCGGTAGTTCTCGGCCAATTTTCCTCCGCTCCCATGGCCGTGCTTTGCAATTTAACAGGGTAACCTTGACTGGCCCCGGCAGTCTAGCGGCCCTCTCTGGTACTTCCGTAGCCTGCGTCTGGGCATGCCTTGACCTTTTTTGGAGCGCCCTTCTCTCCTCACGGCATCCTTGCTTCTGGTTTCCTGATGGGCCAACCAATGACATTCGAATCGGCCTTCGCCCCTCCTCATACAGAAAGATGCTAATGCCTTCGGCAGCCGCCTAGCTGAAAAACATTCCCAGGCAAGGGCGTTGGGGACGATTACCGCGTTTATTTCTGGCTTTCCCACGCCTTCCTCGGGCAACTACCCTTATGGTCTCCATCGGTGGGTCGACCCTTTATGGGGTTTTATGGGTAACAGTAACGGCCTTCTAATAGCTGTGGCTCGTTCTGTGCCCCGCTTTGTGTCTGGTATTCTGGTCCCGTGTCTGAAACGTGTCCCTCCCCGTCTCCCTTCAAGAAGTGCGCCGCCTTCTGCGATCGTTGTTGACATACTCCTACATCGCCACACCTGTAATCCGGCAAGCCATCACTGCGGGTTACTCAAGAACGCTACCTCCTGCAGCCTCTTGTGAACCGAACTCAGCAGACCACTGCCGCGGTTTGCTACAAGCGCAATGCCTTCTGTGGTCGCTGTCTACAAGTTCCCCTACCAAACACCTTCGGTTTGGCGCGTTGCCTTTCACCGCCGCTCGTCATGCATTTTGTGCCGCGCTTTGCGGACCACCACAGCAGTTTCCCACAAGCGCACCGCCTTCCGTGGTCGCTATCTATATCCTCCTAGGTCACAACGCCTTCAGTTCGGCTTGCCGCCACAGCGGGCTCCCTAAGCGCACTGCCTTCCACAGCCGTTTGTCATGCATTTTGTGCCACACTTAGTGGACCGCCGCAGCGGCTTTTCTACAGGTGCACCGCCTTCCGCGGCCGCTGTCGATAGATTCCTAAATCCCAACGCCTTCCATTCGGCGTGGCTTCCTAAGCGCACTGCCTTCCGCAGCCGATTGTCATGCATTTTTGTGCCGCACTTGTTGTTGTTGTTACATGGTCGTGGGTGCGTTCCCCGTACCTGCAAACCACCCTATTCCCCGTACCTGCAAACCACCCTAGTACGAGCCGAGGGCTCAAGGGCTGCCAAATCGCCTATAAGCACCATCCTACCTCGCACTTCCAACGAGACAAGTGATGAAGTATACTTACGGCCAAAGGGAACAATAGAGTTGCGGTGAGACCATATACATTCCAGCATCCTTGCCAGGCGTTCAGGCTCCCACTTCATAGCGTCCTTCATGCCGCACTTAGCGGACCGCCGCAGCGGCTTTTCTACAAGCGCACCGCCTTCCGTGGCCGCTGTCTAAATGCTCCTAAATCAACGCCTTCAATTCGGTGTGCCGCCGCGGCGGGCTTCCTAAGCGCACTGCCTTCCGCAGCCGCGTGTCATGCATTTGAGCCGCACTTAGCGGACCGCCGCAGCAGCTTTTCTACAAGCACACCGCCTTCCGCGGCCGCTGTCTAAATGCTCCTAAATCAACGCCTTCAATTTGGCGTGCCGCCGCGGCGGGCTTCCTAAGCACACTGCCTTCCGCAGCCGCGTGTCATGCATTTGTGCCGCACTTTGCGGACCGCCGCAGCGGCTTTTCTACAAGCGCACTGCCTTCCGCGGCCGCTGTCTATATGCTCCTAAATCAACACCTTCAATTCGGCGTGCCGCCGCGGCGGGCTTCCTAAGTGCACTGCCTTCCTCAGCCGCGTGTCATGCATTTGTGCCGCACTTAGCGGACCGCCGCAGCGGCTTTTCTACAAGCGCACCGCCTTCCGCGGCCGCTGTCTAAATGCTCCTAAATCAACACCTTCAATTCGGCGTGCCGCCACGGCGGGCTTCCTAAGCGCACTGCCTTCCGCAGCCGCGTGTCATGCATTTGTGCCGCACTTAGCGGACCGCCGCAGCGGCTTTTCTATAAGCGCACCGCCTTCCGCAGCCGCGTGTCATGCATTTGTGCCGCACTTAGCGGACCGCCGCGGCGGCTTTCTGATGTAGCTGTAGCCCGTCCACACGTCTGAAGACTCCGGGTCCGTCCACGCGTCTTGACTTCAACTTTCGTTTGCTTGCAGATTTCTTGACGCCATCCTGTATGCCTGTTTTGCTCGTTGTTCCTTACGCCTTCGCACGTAGGGTAGCTGTTATGTTGGTAAGTATCCTGCACCGGGCTATCTGGCGACTCGCGAGGATACCAGGGTAAATCAGGCGAACTCAAGACAAAGGGCGCCGACCAAGCCCCTCGCAACAACTTGTCAACCAAGAGCTACTCCCGGCAAAACGGACTCCCAGCTAATGCCTCGCCAACTGCGGGAGGCCGAGATAAAACCACCTTTCCTACTGACCTACGGACCCCGCGAACCCAACTAGAATTCACCCCGCCCACCGACAAGCAACAGAACCCGCTGTTCAGGTGCCTCTACTCAAGGCCGAACCAACCCAACCACCCGCGCGGTGCCCGCGCGCTTCACTTACTTGCATGGATGCCGTCGGCCCGCAATGTCGATCTTCGCGTCGCCGTTGTTGTTGTCTTCTCATATATAAGAGACGGCGTCCTATTGTAGGCAAGACCAAAGATAAAGGCAATCTAACATCACTCGTCAAGCGATTTGGACCTCGACTTTCTCTAGTCTTTCTAGTCGTCTATTTTCTGTAACCTGTCTTAATAAAGCTTAGTTGGTATCTGTTGTCTGACTCTGCATTCTGTGCTGGAATGGCCAAACCCGGACTGTCTCGTCCTGGTGTGATATCCGGGGTTGGCATCGGGCCCTCCGTACTTCTGTATCTCTCGCAATTCTCGAATACAAAGTTCAATATTTCTACTTACTTAGGGTATTTATTCAATACTGGTGGTTCACTTTCCCCGTATTTAGGGTGACACATCACATATGTCTGGTCGATTTGCGTCATAGGAACTTTTGTATCCGCCTTATGCTCGGCCACCTTTTCAAGCTGCACATCTTCCGGGCATCTGCGCATTGCGTTTTACCATTTTTTCACAAATATGCAATAATACCGCACCAAGGCCAGGATCACAGCGCGTCGATTTACGACGCCCTTGCCGGATTGCGCAAAGAGTAATTGTGTCTCAGTCCGAGCATGCTCGTCCATTTCATCCAATATGTTAGTTCTTGCCCACCTTTTAGGTGGGCAAGCCAACCTTAAGTAAAAGCACAAGCCGCCATGAACTGATCTGGGATCTTAAGAAGCCAGCAAAAAACTATGGAAATTTAACTTTTCGCTCGTGCTCATCAATGCAGTAGTGAAGCTGTGCTGGCCCGGCAGCGCTGCTAGCAGCAAGGGGCCCGGCAGCGGCATTCCCTCCCACATACACATGTACATGGCGAAGTATAAGCACTGCATGGGGCTGCCCTTTTCGCTAGCCGCAGCCGTCATGTGGCCAACACATGCTAAGGTTTTCATTACTCGTTTAGCACATCGTAAGCTAATGCAGTTTCGTTTATGTTGCTGGGCTTTGGAGGCAAACAGAGCACGAAGGGGCAAGTACCATGTCCCCAGGGAGCAGCGGTTTTGCCGCTGTTGTGGTACTAATAGCCGAATCGAGGATGACAAGTCGGGTGTCGGCTTCCTCGAAGCCGGAAAAAGGGCGGGCCCCTCCCGCATCCGTACAGGCCAGTAGCTAGCACGGCACGTGTGACAATTGATGGGTAGTGTCAACGCGGTGGGAGATGTGCTTTGTTGCAGCAGTGCTGATGGTGTGGGAGCTAAGCTTGCACCGGCGGAATCGTCAGCACCACCTGCGGGCTCCGCGTGAATCGCATCCATCCCGGGTGCATGCCGCATGGACAGTGCGGCAGACCGCAAGTCGGAATGCCCGTGCGAGCAAATGGTAACGCAAGCTGGGTGAAGTTCGGTGCTGTCTGTGATGTTTATCCCCGAAGCGCCAGCGGCCTCAGCAATCCGCCCCACAGCCGCGAGCTTCACCGCGGCACAGTACAAATGAGCAGCTTGCGTATTTCATAGAGAAATGTAAGCAAATTTGTCGGCCTGCTGGTGGCAAGTCGGAAGGCCCGTGCGAACAAATGGTAACACAAGCTGGGTGTTCAAGTTATCATACGCTGTCATCTCAGAATTCCATTATGAGATACGCGGCACCTTTTGAGATTAAATTTAGCCCGAGAGGCGCTGATGTGACTTTGACCTCGGTCAATGGAGGCAGGCAGAGTTGTCTGTGCTCATTTGTGCTCATACGATTGTTGTTGGCTACAGGCGAAATACCCTGCGATAGAGAATGCTATATAGTACCAATAACGCGTTTCAGCCTGGCGAGATATCATGTTTGGTCCGTTACACACACACGGCTGCGCGGCCTCACGGCCACACGGCCACACGGCCACACGGCCACACGGCCACACGGCCACACGGCCACACGGCCACATGGCCACACGGCCACACGGCCACACGGCAATCCTACAGGTCGGGGCCCCCCTGGGCGCTTAGCGCTGGGGCCCCGCCCAAAAAACGTTATTGGAATGAACAGCCTATAATGATATCCGTGCTAAAGAAGGATTCGATTATCAACAGAGAATGTGGGAGGCCATGAAATGGGAACCAATACGTCTGGCGAGGATGTTGGAACGTATGAGGGCTCACCGAAACTCAGTTATCCCCTTTGGACGCTAGTCTGGGCTGATGTGCGGTGTTTCCTGTTCTCCGTGGCTTTTAGGCGTATAGATATTGCCCTTGGACCTTCGGCTCGTATGGGTAGTTTTACAGGTATGGGGTCACGCACCCCCAACCATGTAACACACACACACACATACACATATACATATACACCACCTCCTCGTCCTCTTGACATTGCCACTAGTGTTGACCACCTTCACAAACACCGACCGGAAGCTTATCAGCTTCATGACGTTGATCAGAGGGCTGCCCGTGAACGCAAGTCGGTTTTCCCAGTACTTGCTGTCCAATTTTGGCTTGGACCAAATTACTGCTACTGAGCACCATGCGGCTCAAAAGCTGAATGCCAATAGCTGCGCAAGCCTTTCCGTGGTCAACATGCTCAATGAGTTGGCGCGCAATGTTATCCTTGAAGAAGAAGAAGAAGAGAGCCAGATGCTTCAAGAAGGTGGCAATCTGACCCACAGAAGAAATGAACTACGAATAGAACTGCCATCCTCTAAGGAACGTAAGCTCTTTGCGCGGGGAAAGCTTTCAGCCTCCGTGGGTTCTGGGTCGTGAGGCCGAGGCTTTTGAGGAGGCTTAAACGCTGTGGACGGGTGGCATTCGTTGATATGATGTGTGAAACAGGGGAGTGTATCTTCGCCCGTGGCAGCTACCCTGCGAAACTCTGCCTTCCCTGGTATTTCGAGGCACCCTCATCCAGTCACCCTAGCCAAAGCCAACTTCTCAGTGGATCGCTCAGGTTCCGCACCCATCACCAGCATCCAACGGAATCTGTCGGGTCGATAGCGGCCCAACTTCGTTCCTGGTCGGCTCGCAGGTTAACTTTATCCCAGGTCACCACCGTCCATCAATCAGGGGCGCAATGCCTTCCCACCATCGGAACGACTTTTAACCCTGATGGGTATCGATCACGGGATCTCCCGGGGGCAATGGTCGCGCCTTACCAGTGGTGCCAAACCCTTGATATGCTTGGGCGCTACGGTTCAGGGATTCGTTGCGCTGAACTCCTTGCCGAAGAAGCACTGGATCTTCACAACGTTGTTAATAAGCAGCACATTGAGATACTGCCACCAGGCCGCCTGTCTCCTACGATTTGATTCCTTAAGCTTCTCATGGTATTCCTGCGGCGTGAGCTTCTTGCCGTTGTAGGTATAGCCAGGTATAGCTGCCCTTTCCTTTGGGATCGCTCGGGCCTGCACCCGTATCCGTCATCGTTGCAAGCTATTGCTTCTGGACAAACGACGAAACGAGCTCCGGGGAGCGGTAACGAAACTATTCTAAAAGTTTCCCAGTGTTGTACATTATATAACGGCCTAACCGTCATCTAATGGGCCAAAATCGACTATCTAATTTCTATACAGAACTCCCAATTGAAATTATAACTTAAGAACATGAGAACAGAGAAAAAATACCCCCATAAAGCGCCACGAATCAGGTCGGCGCTTCCGGAAACCACCTCCTCCTCACCCCCCATTCTATAGTTTACTGCCGGCACCCTTCAAATTCGCACCCAAGGCACTTCCCCGCCGCACTAGCTGTACGCATTCTCAGCCCAATCTCAGACCTTCTGCGGCAAATGCTTCTTGGCAGCTTCCCCACACGCGTATACACCAGACAGACAGACAGATAGACAGACCGACAAACAGAGACAGACAGAGACAGACAGAGACAGACCGACAGACAGACGGCGGAGCCGTGGTCGCCGGGTGTTGTGGCAAGATCTTCCCGTTCGCACATTTTTCAAGTTGGCCCCAGCGCAATGTAGGGGGGCATGGTTGTGTGCGTTTAATACCTCCCTGCGATTGATACCACCCCTGGACTAGCCCAGGGAGGGAGAGGCGGGGGTGGGAAGTGGTCTGGGGAGGCTGTTTGGCGTCTTGTGGTGTGGGGTGTTTCCGCTCTTTCTGTTAGAGGCGTTTTGGAGTTTGGTGGCCTCCCCAAGCCGGGATGACTCGTCGGGCGTCCAGTTGCCCTGGTCCTAAACACATGTTCTTTTAGGTTTTCTCTGTACTCTCTGCCCGTAGAAAATACTGCCCGGGTGCAATTGATTTTGTTAGGTGACCAGTGGACCGAGTTTGTTTTGCAGTAGCACTACTCCCCGCTGGGGAACGCTGCTTAGTGCCGGCCGTCGTATATCGGCCTGAGCCGGGGGCAGAATGCAGGAGACTAACCAGCCCTCTGCGTCTGTCCCCCGTGCTGTGTTCGGCCCTGGGGCCCCGGCTTTTCATCCCACAGTGTAATTAGCATCATATCTGTATATGTAATACATATATACATACCTACATACCTACATACCTACATGCATACGTACATACAGATCTCACCATCCTCACCATATTCACTACGACCACTACCACCATCATCACCGTCGAGAATCCGCCCGAGTACGGCAACTCCTTCCGAGGCCGAAGATGGAGGATACTCATCCCAAAACATTGCAAACTGTATCACGATGCTGCTGATGCCGCTAATGCCGCACAGAAACACACCCCTCCCCCACCCCTTCTACCTCCCACCAGCCCACCCCACCCCACCCCACATGCCGGCATCCATGTCAGCACCGTTGCGTGCCGGCAGCGGCGGCGGCGGCGGCCCCTCCGCCAGCTCTTCCGACAACGTGCTGGCGTCACGTATGCTGGACAACATCCTCAGCCTCCGGTTAATGCTTGGTCCGCTGGACTCCGAAGTGAAAGAGGAGGAAGACGACGCTGCGTCATCGTCATCATTGGCGGCGGCGCCTGTACGTTCGTGTGCCGGCATCGCCATGGCCGCCGCCGCCACCGGAGACTTCTGCGTTGTTATCGAAGATGTTACGGAGCTGCTGCGGCGGCCGGATGATGGCCCCCGGGTGATCCGTGGGGATGGCCCGTGACCGTCCGAAGACTGGGGCTTGGTCGGCGGCGCGGGAACCGCCGCCACCGCCGCCACCGCCGCCGCTATGGCTCCGGCCTCCATGGCTGCACGCGCGCGCTCCTCTTTTTCGGCCTGGTAGTGGTAATGGTGGTGATGGTGGTGATGGTGGTGATGGTGGTGGTGGCCGTGGTGGTGGTGGTGGCCGTGGTGGTGGTGATGGTGGTGGTGATGGTGGTTGTGGTCGTGGTGGTGATGGTGGTCGTGGTGGTGATGGTGGTCGTGTTGATGGTGTTGGTGGTGTTGGTCGTGGTGGTGGTCGTGGTGGTGGTGGTGATGGTGGTGATGGTGGTGATGTTGGTGACGGTGATGGTGGTGATGGCGGTGCAGAGGGCACCACAGGAGAAACAGGCGTTGGTGACGGCGTCGGTCCGGATGTCGTGATGCTCAAAGAATTCTTCACACAACAAGACTGATCGTTGACGGAGGGCACTTTCTCGGACCAGAGGGAATACCTGCACATGCCGTACAGCAGGGTGGTGACAGGGGAGCCTTACTACAAGTCTTACAACATAAAGAAAAGAAATTCACCCTGTTGGCTTAGGATGGCATTTCCGGTTAAAGAAACAATGGACCCTTCCATTAACAGCTATCCTATCAGTGTTCGACACCCCGTACGGGGCCCGTAAGTTTTTGGCCTTTTTTCGGTATCCCCGTCAGGGCCCGTAGGACTTTTCGCTGGCTCCCGTAAGGATTTTGGGGCGCGAAACGCCCCGTACGGGGCCGCCCCCGGACCGGCCGAAGGCCGGTTACGGTGGCTCCCGTAAGGAATTTAAGGATTTATAAGAGGCCGTACGGGGCCCTGTAGGGAAGAGGACGGACCATATAAAGGATAAGGCCACACACTTGTTTCACTACTTCGTGTGGGGATGTTGGGACCTGCTGCTGATACCGGGGCGAAGCCACTGATTGATCAGGCTGCTGAGATCTACTCGCGTAAGGGTTATACAGGCATTATTCACAAGTTGTTTTCTGACGTTAGCAAAATTAATTTGAATCCATACGGAGAGGATGATAATGAGGAGGTTGCGACTGACCCAGAGATTGAAGTACTGGTACAAGCAACATACCCCTCTAGTGACGATGAGGCTGACAGTGACTACGAGACCGACGTAGAACGAGATACCGATGAGTCGTGCGTGGATGAGGATTTTGATGATGAGGAGGAGGACGAGAAAGAGGAGCAGAAGGGATGGGCGGCCGCGGCGGCCAAGGCGCTTGGCTTTCACTGAGTGTGCCGTGTCCCCGAGTGTAATGGTTCACGAGAAAATAACGAAAATAACGATTTAAAAGGGCAAAAAAATGCAAAGCTTCACTTTCCACAGCGTTTCAGCCAAGGACAGTGCCCCCGTAAAGGTTTTGCGGGGTTACGGGGGCCCCCCTAAGGTTTTCGGCCGGTACAGGAGCCTGGTACGGGGGCCCCTCCGTAAGGAAAATTTGGGAGGTACGGGGGAGCCCGCAAGTTTCAGAAAGGTCAGTGTCGAACCCTGCTATACACCTGCCTCATTTCAGCCTTCCAGCCTGTCGCACCTTTGGGCTTACCTACTTTGCTGTACGGTACGGGCGTACAGCATACCTGTTCGCTTGCCGGCACTACGAGACTCCATATGTGCGAAATTTCACGGGGGCTGGCTTTGAAAATGGCTTCATAAAATAAACAAGTCGGGTGTCGGCTTCCTCGAAGCCGGAAAAAGGGCGGGCCCCTCCTGCATCCGTACAGGCCGGTAGCTAGCACGGCACGTGTGACAATTGATGGGTAGTGTCAACGCGGTGGGAGATGTGCTTTGTTGCAGCAGTGCTGATGGTGTGGGAGCTAAGCTTGCACCGGCGGAATTGTCAGCACCGCCTGCGGGCTCCGCGCGAATCGCATCCATCCCGGGTGCATGCCGCATGGACAGTGCGGCAGACCGCAAGTCGGAATGCCCGTGCGAGCAAATGGTAACGCAAGCTGGGTGAAGTTCGGTGCTGTCTGTGATGTTTATCCCCGAAGCGCCAGCGGCCTCAGCAATCCGCCCCACAGCCGCGAGCTTCACCGCGGCACAGTACAAATGAGCAGCTTGCGTATTTCATAGAGAAATGTAAGCAAATTTGTCGGCCTGCTGGTGGCAAGTCGGAATGCCCAATGTGCAAATGGTAACACAAGCTGGGTGTTCAAGTTATCATACGCCGTCATCTCAGAACTCATATATATTTAATATGAGATACGCGGTACGTTTTGAGATTAAACTTAGGCCGAGAGGCGTTGATGTGACTTTGGCCTCGGTCAATTGCGGCAGCCAGAGTATGGTGGAGGAGGTGCTAGAGATTGTTGACCTGCTACCCCTCATGTCGTCTCTCGTGGGCTCCCCTGGAGTCAGTTGTCGGTGGAGGCGCGGAAGCGACTCACGATCGCGGTGGAGCTGGTGGCTAACCCGTCGTGCATCTTCTTGGACGAGCCAACCAGCGGTAAGCTGTTGGTGGTTGTACGGTTGGTTGGGACGGTTGGGCTGTTGGGGCTGTTGATTTTTGCGTCGCGTACTTGTGGTGTTTATGTACTCCCAGGTTAATTATGTTTACAAGTGTACGACACGCGTGTGTGGTGCAGGTCTGGATGCTCGTGCTGCAGCCATCGTCATGCGTGCGGTGCGCAACATTGCTCGTAACGGTCGTACCGTTATGGTTACGATTCACCAACCGGCCGAATTACCTTGCGATAGAGAATGCTATCTAGTACCAATAACGCGTTTCAGCCGGGCGAGGTATTATGTTTGGTCCGTTACACACGGCCACACGGCCACACGGAGATGGGCAATCCTACAGGTCGGGGGCCCCCTGGGCTGGGGCCCCGCCCAAAAAGCTCAAAAATAAATAAACATAAAAATATAAAAAATAGTAATAAAGTATTCATTTTTATTGGTTAATAAACCTGTGCCGGAAACGACCTTGCCTGCAGAATGGTCCGCAGGGTTCCCCCCCTTATTATTGCTACTTTGACGCAACCATAGCCACAATATTTGTACAATACAATTCATTTATACGGCTCCGTCCATACAAAAGTTCATACAGCAATATCGGTACAAATATTCGTACACAAAACACATTCCACGTACTTGCAAGACGACTGGTTGCCACACAATTGCTCCAGGGTAGAGCAGGGGGCACGAAAAGTGATGCACCACGTCATCTGCATGATCTGCGAGCGGAAGAGCCAAATCGGGCGTGTGTATACACATATTATTCTGAACCATCATGTATTACATCCGTAATCCAGTCCGTTATGTATATGTATATGTATATGCATATGCTGCTGTAAGACAAGATTATGTGCGCAATAAATATATAATACGGTAGGAACACATAAACCAAAGCATGACAAATCCTATTTTATAGGTACACCTTACAGTAGACATTTCGATATCATGCGCACCTGACTGGCGTTCATGTTGAAGTCCGTACCCTTAAGCGCCGTGTTATTAGCTGTATCTACTTCCAACTTAAATTTGTTTGTAAACTTGCCGTTGACGGTACTACTGACGTAACTGCCCTTGCATTTCGGATCTGGAACGAATGATGCGTAGTAGAGAAAATATGGGGAAAGGTAAGAGCAGGTTTGTAATAAGGGATGCAATTATGCATGTGAGCATGTCTGTGGGATTATGCTATATAGCGTCCTTCACTCCTATGCATAGCTATGCATAGCCCTATAGGGCTTGAGAAGCTGTAGCGCCGCGCCGCGGCGGGCGGCACCCAGCGGCAGCCCAAAAATTTTCGCGTTTGGGGGAACCGCTGGATGGACACACCGGGGCGCCCAGGATCGTTTATAGAAAGGAATCGATACCAGTAGATTGTCTTAAGCGAGATAGGATCGAGATTTGTGTGCGCGAGCGGAAGCAGAATCAGAGTTTTGTCCTGAGACCGTAGGCCCAGGTGTGGTTGTGAGCCTGATGTGAGCAGAGTTTTACTGCTTCTTGGCCACTAGGCCCAATGTCAGGTTGGAACCTGGTTGGCTGTTGACAAGATAAAATGGGTAGGAGTCATCCACGCCAAGTGAAGGCGATACCCGTTACAAACTGCCTTGGCCGGTGCGTCCTGCTACCGTGCGCGGGAGTTGTATGATTGGAATATCCCTCAGAAAACATTGGTCAGGCCGCGCCTTATATACGGTAAACGCGCCCGCCATTCGTACAACTGTCGTATGGTCAACGTAAGACGTAGCTACCCTTTTCGCGCAGCAACTGCTCATTACGCAACGGTAGCTACCCGTTTACGCAGCTCCTGGCCAGGTTCATGGCGGCCAAAGGAAACTGAGAAGAAACTAGTACAGGATATTTTTCATAGAACATTTCTCAGACCGGAGCTAGATCGTCAGACACAAATCGCCTGCTTTTCATCGCCAGTCTTTACGCGGTGCGCCGTATGTACATGACCATTCTCAACGCGTTTATAGTTTTTAAATAACGATATGGCAATATTCGACCTCCTGCTATGCCCGGAACGATACGCAACCAAAGCCGTCAGACTCAGTTTTCTATGACTAGCTGGACGTTGCTACAGCTGTAGCGTCCCCCCCCTTCAGAAACCTGGCCACCTGGCCGGGGCTAACCTCCGCTAGGGTCCTCAGACGGTAGTGTGGGATTCGGGGCGGTGCTGCGTTCAGCCGCCGTTGTAAGTTCTTTGCCGAACACACATAGCGCCGGGCTCAACCGCGTTCTATCTTGTCGGGTAGCTCTATAACCATAGAGAATTTGATAGACCTCAATGTCCCAGTTGTCTTCCTTGTCGTTGATGCATTTGCGTAGGCCTGTCAACAGTACCCTGACAAGACGCTCTGCCTGCCCGTTGCTCTGAGGTGAGTAGGCAGCGGTGTGTCGATGTGCGATTCTCTGCTCTCGTAGCAGGTGGGCAAACTCGCCATCCCATTCTCGACCTTGATCCGTCATCACCATTTCTGGCGATCCATAGCGTGTCACCCACTGTTGCCAGAACCATGATGCAGTGGTGCTAGCTTTCTTATCCGGCAGGGGTCCTGCCTCGGGCCATTTAGACCATGAGTCTACAGCCACGATCAGATAGCTGTTGCCGCGGGGTGTCTCCTTGTAAGGTCCCATCAGATCAACATGTACTCTTCCCCACAGTGGTACCACCGGAAGGGGGCGAAGTCGTGGTTGCCGTACAAGCCTCAGCTTGCCAGGTGCACACTTCTGACACTTGGCCACGTGTGTCTGCACATCTTGTCGCATGTTCTCCCAAAAGAAACGCTTGCGGAGAAAGTCATAGGTCTTGCCGACTCCCCAATGAGCCATGTCGTGGGCCTCTTGAAGCGCTGCCAGGCGTTCCTCAGGTTTGAGAACTCGCACCCGTGATTGCTTATCCGAGCTCAGCTTCCACAGCCGGCCATTTGAAAGTTCATACCGAGCAGCCTTTTTGCGTAATCTTGTCATCTCCCTCAAATTGTCTTCCCCGGACGCCGAAACGTCAACAGGAAGCTTGCCAGATTCTAAGTATCGAATCAATGCTTTATCCTGCCAAATTTCTGTAGGGGTAAGAGGTCCAGGCTTCGGCGTCTCGCCGGAGCTGTTACCACTATCTGGGGTAAAAACATTGGAATCCGGACCTGAGTCGCTCTCCTTGCTTGAGGAAGACAAGGAAGGAGAAGGTGACGGGGTCAAACCCTGAGTAGGAATACGGTCGGCCATGGGGCGACCTGGGGTGGCCCGGGGGTGAATGATGGCTGGACCTCCAGCCAATCGCTGATCAGCAGGACGGGGCGTGTCCAGGGTGGGCAGGGGTCGGGAAAATCGCACCCGCTTGGCTGGCGTATCGCCAGGGCCAGAAGACAGACGATGCTTTGCAGAGTGTTGAGCTGGTTTGCTATTATGAAGTGGGCAGAACCATGGCCCAGCCGGTACCACAGACAATGGTGGATCTAGACACGTAGTGTGCCAGCCCAGACAGCAGGTAGGCTCATCGCAGAGCAGAAGAGTGGATGTCGGCCGTCCTCGTAGACAGACCGAACAGATCATTCCGGGGTCATCATCAGTATTGGTGCTTTCGGAAGCAGGTGGCTCCGCGTAATCTGCTAAACGTGGATTGACAGTGTGACGGCGACGGTGTTGCCGTGCGTGTTGTGCTGCAGGTATCTCATCTGGTGTTCCAGATGTCAGACGAGCTGACCTATCCAAGCGTCGCTTGCCACGCGGGACCAGTGGTCTGGTTGCTTCACGCAAGGGGTTGTGCTCTGGTGTAGGCGACGATAGAGCCGGAGGCTGGTGTACAGCCACCCTGGTCGGCTCATCCGGTATAATGCCGCGGCTACACTCCTCTTCCTGTTCAGTTATGAGGATCTGAACCTCGGAGGTGATGGCTGCAATTGAGCATGCCAAGATGGCGGCATCCTCAAGTGGGTCCGGACTGGGGTCGATCTCTGTAGGCAAATTACGGTGGGGCTCCATCAGATGTCCCAAGCGGCTCAAACCATCCACGTTTGAATTCTTGCGTCCGGCCTTATGCATCACTTCAAAGTCGTAGGCTTGAAGCTTGAGCGCATATCGAGCCAGCTTTCCCAGAAGATCTCGAGCGCGTGCAGTCCGCAAAGACCGAACCGCCATCGAATCCGTGATGAGTACAAAAAGAGTGCCGTACAAGTAGGGGTGAAAGTGTTTAATTGCCCATAAGGCAGCGTAGGCCTCTCCATCTGCCGCGCTGTAATTCAGCTGTGAGCCAGTCATAGCCTTACTAGCAAACTGAACGGCGTATTCATATCCTTTGTTGTCCTGCTGGGCCAGGCACGCGGCGACGGCAGTGCGGCACCAGTCGACTTGGACCAAGAACGGGCGTCGGAAATCAGGTGCGCGGAGAACAGGCTCCCCCAGCAAAGCATTACGTAGCTCTTGGAAAGCGTCCTCTTCTCGCGGACCCCAGCACCAGGGTGTCCCCTGCTTAAGTAGTGCATACAATGGCTGTGCAATCAAGCCGAAGCCAGGGATAAGTTCCCGGTAGTAACCAACAGCTCCCAGCCAAGCTCGTACTTCGCGAACATTGGATGGCGACGGAAGTTCTGCAATTTTCATGACGTTGGTGGGGTTAGGTCCCACGACACCACGTACTCCGTCAAGCAGATGACCAAGGAAAACCACGCGTTGTTGGCCAAACGTGCACTTCTTAGCTGCGATCTTGAGACCAGCCATTCGGAGAAGGTCGAACACTTGCTGAAGATGTCGTACATGATCTTGTAGTGTTGGGCTGAAGATAAGGATATCATCCAGATAAACCACTACACACCGTTCCCGCGGTGGGCTATCCAATGAAGCAGGGGGTGGAGGCGAATCCTCTATTAGTGGGCCCAGAACCTTGTGCATCAGGGTAGCGAACACGGCGGCTGCTCCCTTTAGACCCATGGGCATTCGTACATATCGATACTGAGCTGTGGGCGTGGCAAATGCCGTACGCTCCTTAGAAGCCTCGTCCGCCATCGGGACTTGCCAGTAGCCCGACTTCAAGTCCAGGCTGGAGTAGTAACGAGTCTCGCCACCCGGAGGTGCAGCAATATCCAAAATATCCTGGATGTGGCCTATCGGAAACCGGATGTCCTTAGTGACGTCGTTGACCCTCCGCATATCTACACAGGGCCGGAGTTCTCCGTTTTTCTTGGGAACGACTACGACTGGAGACACCCAAGGACTGTTGGACAGTTCGATGATTCCGTCCTGTAGCATCTGCCGCATCTCAGCATCAACGGCGGCTTTCTCCGTTCGTGACAGACGGTAAGGATTCTGCACGATAGGAGGATGATCTCCTGTGTCCACCTTCATGGACACCCAGGACGTAAGCCCTAGCTCTCGGTTGGTTAAGGCGAACATGTCAAAGTTGTCAGTCAAACATGCGACCAGCTGCTGGTGGTCGAGGTACTGAAGATCGGTGTTTACTTTGCTGCTTAGCAACTCGCGTAGCTCAGGGGTAGGGCTCTTGACTGGCCGAACCGCACGGGCTACCAACCCGCGAAAATGAGCCTCCTCTAAATGTCCGTCATGATCCAAGCCGTCTG